GAAAGAGGGAGAGAAGGAGAGAGAGAGAGACACACGCACACACAGAAGGGAAGGTGACCGGCCACGTGGAGCTGCAGACAGAAAGACAGACAGGCAGGAGGGGCGAGAGAGGAGGAGGAGGACAAGGAGCGAGGAAAAGACAAACGGAAGGGAGAGAGAGAGGTAGGGAGAGAGAGAGAGAGAGAGAGAGAGACGGAGGAGAGGAGGTGGTAAAAGGATGGCAAGGAGAGGGAGGAAGGGAGAAGAGGAGCGGAACGGAGGGAAAATGCAAGGGAGGGTAGGATAAAGAAAAGGAGAGAGAGTGAGGGAGACAGACACAGACAGACAGACAGACAGACAGACAGAGGGAGAGAGAGAGAGAGAGAGAGAGAGAGAGAGAGATGGGAGTCGTGGAGAAGGAGAGAGCTAAGGGTTCGAAAGGGAGACAAGATGGGAGGCAAAAAGAAGGAAAGGAGGAAGAGGGGTGAGGGTAGATGATCACGAGGAAAGGTTAGGCTGGGAGAGAGAGAAAAAAAGAAAACTTTCAATAATAATTGGGAAAAAAAAAGAAAAAAAAAAGCAAACGGAAAGTGGAGGGAGGGAAAGAGGAAGGAAAGGAGGGACAAAGAGGAGCGCAAACGTAGGAGGAAAGAGGAAATGGATAAGGAAGAACGGAGGGATGGAGGTCCTGGAAGTGGAAGTGGATACCGAAGAAGTGGGTAAGAAAGAAGTGGATAAGGAAGAAGTGGATAAGGAGGAAGTGGATAAGGAGGAAGTGGACAAGGAAGAAGGGAGGGAGGGAGGACCTGCAAGTGGATAAGGAAGAGGGGGGGGAGGGAGGTCCGCAAGTGGATAAGGAAGAAGTGGATAAGGAGGAAGTGGATAAGGAGGAAGTGGATAAGGAGGAAGTGCATAAGGAGGAAGTGGATAAGGAGGAGGTGGATAAGGAGGAGGTGGATAAGGACGAAGAAGACACTCACTTGACCGGCGACAACGAATGCGGCTAAGGCCCTCCACAAATACGACGGCGGCTTCCAGTTCTCGATCCACTGCGGCGGATGAGGCATGTTGGCGAAGACGAAAGTCTCCTTGTCTATGGCGCCTCCATCGTCGGCCGCGCTGCTGCTGTCGGCGGCATCATCCCCCTCATCTTTCACGAAATCCACGGCGCCAACCTGGCGAGGGAACAACTTGCCTCCGCGCTTGACGCATTTCCTTCCCCGTTGAAAAAAAATCGCGCGATCTCGATCCCGATCGCTATGCCGATCCCGGCTGCGACAGAGTCCTCCGTTCTCCACCTGCAGTACAGCTCTCGCGGCGAAATACCCTCCTCCTCCTCCTCCTCCTCCTCCTGCTGCTGCTGCTGCTGCTGCTGGAATCCCCTCCTCCTTTCTCCCTTCGCCGCCTCGTCTTCTGTCAAGAACCTCCACTTGCGTCGGGATCGCGATCTCCTCCTTCTTCAGCAGTTTACAGCTGCTGAACCCCCGCCCGACTGGCGTTGACGTCAACCCGACCACTCCGCCATCGCCATCCAACGGCCACCTCGCATCAGATACAGCGTCCGATGATGACATCGGAAGAAGAAACAGGTGGCCATCTTCATCGACGTGTGGAGGAGGAGACATGCCTCCCCCCTCTCGGTCATCATCATGGACGGCTAGGTGTGCAGGAAGAGACACGTGGTTGCGGCAGGGCCTTTGCCCAGACCGTCCGGATCGGGACCGTTGTCCCCGTGGCAGCACTGCGAGAGACCGAGAGGGGCGAGGCATGCGCCACCAAGATGCACCCTTGCACGCGGCAAAGCAGCAGGAGGAGAAAAAGGAGGAGGAGGAGGAGGAGGCATAGCTACGGGATCGCAGCAGCAGTAGCGATACCTGCGGACCTGCCACGTGGACAGCAGATCCCGATCGTCGTAATCCTGCTGCTAACCTATCACGAGACCAGCAGCTCCTTGTCAAGCTGCAATCACGTGTCCGTCTTGGCAACAGATGAATAGTACTAGTATTGCGGAAAGGTGCATCCCTCTCTCCTGCTGAGGAGGGGGGGGAGGAGGAGGAGGAGGAGGAGGAGGAGGGGGAGGACACGTGGCCGAACAGAGATTGGGAGTGAGAGGACGAGGACATCGATGCTGATTGCAGAAATGGAGATGACGTCAACATTATTGGGCTGTCATGATAACATTCGTGGTCAGGAATCCTTCCTCCTGCTACAGATCTGGCGGAAAGAGACGATATCCTTAACGCTGACCCTTTTTGAGTTGTCGTCAACATCGATGCAGCATGACCGTTCACCGCCATAGCCAGTGTTTCCGAAGAGAGCATCACAGCCCTCCTCAAGGTTGAAGACGACGCCTCCATGGTTGTCGTCACCAGCTCTGACAAAGATCAACCAACCAGCCATACGTAGTCAAGACTTCAGCCATATCCAGAACTTCAGACCACAGCTCTCATCAAGCTTGATGAAGACGAAGCTCCATGGTTGTTGTCGCCATCTCTGACAATGATTCACTAACCAGCCACACCTAGTCAGGACTTCAGCCACAGAGGTTCAGCCATAGCCAGAGCTTCAGAACTTCAGCCATACCGTTGACCAGGCATGATTCATGTCTTCATGGGCCGTCAATCAGGCACAAGCGAAGCTCCTTTCATCGACACAAATGGCGGAAAATGGAGGGAAATATGGAGGGAAAAATGGAGAGGAACATGGAGGGGGAAATGGAGGGATAACGAAGAGAAAAATGGCGGGTAAAATGGAGGGGCAAATGGAGGGATGATGAAGGGGACAATGGAGGGTAAGATGGAGGGCAGGGGGGGGGGGGGGAGGGAAGAAGAGATGGAGGAGGAGAAGGAAGGGAGAAAGAGAATGAGGGGGAAGACGGGAAGACAAACGAGCCAGGGATGCGGAAAAGAACAAAGGAGAGAAACCTATCCTTTTCCTTTCTCTTTTTCATTTTTCGGCACATGCTGGAAAGTGGGTCCAGTGTCCCTTACATCAAATACTGGACGCTTCCCTTCGTTTAGAGTCAAGGTAGACTGAGGATGGACTCACGCCACGGTCTTCCCCTGAACAAAACGCACGTATGTACTACTCAACTTTCCCTGGAAAAGTTGATTTCTTGAAGTCCCCCGGAAATCCAAATAGTACTAATAGTACGGACGTGTGTTCTATTCGAACGAACGGCGGGTGGATTCGAATAGAACACAGAACGCGGCTCGTTTTCAAAACGCATGCCCCTACACTGCTCTCTCCCTCTCTCTCTCTGTGGTGCGTATCCCCGTTTACAGTGCCGCACTCATTTTCAGAGTGCTTTGCCCCCTCTCTCTCTCACTCGTTGTGCCCAGAGGTGATGGCGATGGCGATAACTGTCTTTGGAATCCTTACGAAATTACTGGCAATTACGTTTATAACTTCCTCACACACTGTCGATCCCTTCTAATTTCCCTTCGCTTTCAAAGAAAACGAGAATTCTAAAGCAAGACGTTCCCTCTGGGTTTGTTGCAGTAAATTGGTTGAAGGAGGGTTATATTATAAGGTTGCCCTGGTTGGCTTTAGTCAGTGGATTGTATATAACTTGCCTCCACCCACGAACTTTACATACTCAACTACACTTCATGTATGGTTTATACATAAAATATCTTGGAGTCATGTTTGTTTGTTTTTCCATTGCAACCTGTTGTCCATCACTATTGCCACATTCTCGTCCAATAACATTTTGTAATCAAGGTTTTTTTCATGAAAACCGTCTTCACCAACCAGGGGTGTCCTACGTTTTTTGTCTTTTGTGATCTTCACATGATCTCAATTTCCATCATTTAAATTAAGGAAACCCACGCTTATTCCTGCCCCCCCCCTCCGCTGTCTTTAAACAAATATATATATAGAGAGAGAGAGAGGGGAAAAAAATAAAATCTTCATTTCCATCTGTATATCCTGATGAGTCGATGGAACTCCGACGAAACATTCTGTCACAGCCCCTCGTTTGTTGTCCTCTTCTCTCTCTCTCTGCCTACGGTTTACTGAGCAACTTTGTTTGATTATATATATATATATATATATATATATATATATATATATATATATATATATATATATATATATATATATATACCTACCTATCTATCTATTTATGCATCTATCTATCTATATCTTTCAAGTTTTATCCAGGGTTGTGTTCCTTGCAACCCCACGAATAACAATGGTTCTTGCGCGCCCTCGTTGGTAAATTAGTCGGTTTGTTTTCTCACACTACATTAATAGGTTGTCATATGTTTTCGGTCAATTCTCATGCTCAGTTAGTATTTCAGCATAATATTCCACGTACTTGCTTCATAGCCTAACATAAGGTGAACATGTAAAACCTTTACAATGATTTGGGGGACAATGTTTTACGGGGTACAATTGAGGAAAAAACTATAGGATCTTAAAAGGGTAATACTACATATGAGATCAGGAGGGAACACTACTAACAGAGGTTTACCATAAACATATTATTAAGGGAAGGTATGAGTAGACTTGGGGGGGGGGGGGGATCCTACTCTAATGAATGAGCAAGGTAGTGATAAGAAGGGGAGTAGGGAAGGAACTACTTAGGGAACATTCCTATGTCGGGTAAGTCATAACCTAAACCAAAGGTAGCAGGGTAGTGTATACTGGTTATAAAAAACTTAGTGAAGGCATAATAAAGGGTGGTATCTTTCCTTGTAAGGAGAGGGTGTGGATTATAGATGTGTCATATCATAAATCATAGATGATAGGGTGGGTATCACATGGCTTAAGACAATTCACCTGCTACATTGATATAAGCTTTATAAGCGATCCACCTTTACGAGTGAGAAATGATGATTATCGAATGCCAAATCGCGAGTTGTAATGAGACAAAATACGAATGATAGTTGTCATGACCATAGGGGAGTCGAGATAACTAACTACACAAGATGTATAGTTAAATTGAAAAAAGTCTTTAAAACTGGTGCTTTAGCAATAACAACGAAACAATACAACAACAAAATGAGATGAATATAACAACTCTACCCCAGGGTCAAGTAGCTTAAAAGTTGTCATAGATCAAATATTTATTAATGATTATTAAACATTGTATGTAGTCACTCATAGGGAACGTTTAAGTACACATAACGAATCTAATAAATAATTTTAATGAGTACCCTGGGTCTACTCACTTACTGTGTCAAAATTGTTATTATACTTTATTACCAGAGTATGCAGATTATCACATATTTTGACATCAAGTCAACTATATAAGTTGTTGCCAACTTTTTGGTATTGTTTGTTTTTTATATTTTATATTTTTATTTTTATTATAAATAAAAATAATAATAAAATGACTTAAATAGTGTTGATTCGTAAACGTATGGTACCCACTTGATATGTGTGTTTGTGTATGGATACATTATGTGTCAATTGTAATGAATTTAATAAATTTAAAATAAAGAAGTACGTTTCTAACGTTTTGTTTGTTATTTTATTTATAAGTTCGCTTACAGTCAACCGGACACTTATCTACAAGTATAATTATTGTCGTTAACAATCGGAGTAAGGGTACCCCATCCTGAAATGTTGGAATCATTTTTTTTACGAAAATATTGTTTTTTTTTTATCTTATTAACTAGGTTACCAGAGTGGTCCGGGGTCACTTGCCCGACCAGGCCAAATAATAATAATAATAATAATAATATTTTAAAATTTTATTTTTTATTTTAAATTTGGTGAAGAATTTCAATGTAACCCTGAGGTAAAAGTTGTTCAGTTTATTTTTTTGCATAACATAATTTTGTTTTGTTTCGTTTTTTTTTTTTTTTTGGGGGGGGGGGGAACCTTCCTTTGTCCTTACACGTGCTGGTCACCCGGGCCCCGGGCGACCCGGTTGGTAGCCTAGCTTATTAATAGTTTTTTAGAGAATCGATATTTTATATTTCGATCCATAAACCATCAACATAAAAAGTTATAAAATTAATAATCAAAATTTATATATTAAAACAAAAAAAATATTTAATTTTAAAACATATATTTCGCTTTTATTTATTTTTATCTTACTTGAAAACTTTCATTTCAATAATTGGTATCCTTTTTAATTTGAACTGCATACTAAACATGAAATAAAAGTCTGGATGAGTTTATTATTATTTTCTTATTAGACTATCATTCTTTTATGAGAAGTTCAAATTATAAATAGTTGAATCAAAATTTTAATTATAACATATTTGTTATAGTATAATGAAAGTTTAACTAACAGAAATCATAAACTGATTTAGACTTTCATTATATCTTCGACAAATATATGTAGTTGGAAAGAAAAAACTTATTTATAAACAAAAACTGATCAAATATAATAATAAAAACTTTTACATTATAAAAAAAATAAAATATGAAGGATTTTTTTTTAAGGGAGTAATTTATTTTTTTACTTTTTGGTGAGAATTTTCTTATTGATATACCTAAAGTACCTTTCTGTATTAATTTTTTTTTAATTATTAGGCTACCAGTCGGGCCGCCCGGGGCCCGGATGGCCAGCCCGTGCAAGGACCACGGAAGGTCATAGAAAAAAAAAAAAAAAATAAAAAAAAAAAAAAAAAAAATCTATGTTATGCAAAAAAATAAACGGAACAACTTTTCCCTTGGGGTTACAACAAAATTTGTCACCAAATTTAAAATAAAAAGTAAATTTTTAATATATATATATTTATTTTTTTTGGCCCGACCAGACAAATGACCCCGGGCCACTCTGGTAGCCTAGTTAAATTACGAAAAAAATCAAAAAAAAATTAAAATTATTTGTTATTTTTTTTATTACATAAATAAATTATATACATTTATGTCATGTTTATTTTATTACTAAACAAATCAATCAAAGTAATATGTATATAATTCATATATTCACTTGCCTCGTATATATACACAAACATTACCATATAGATGCCTATACACATACATTACCACGTACATCCATAAACACATGTACAGAAACATATCCATAATATATACATTTATATATAAGCATAACCATACACATAATAAATCAAAGAATCAATAGATCAATCAATCAATAAACCAATTGATACATTACTCAATCAATTGACCAATCGATCAACCAAACAATCATTATATGTATGACTGATTATGTGTAACATAATTTCATTTGCCAATTGATTAATTGAATATTTAACTTATTATTTATATTAATTATTAAAGGTAAGGCAATAAATTGGTCTACTGACCAGGCCTCCCAGGTCACCTTGGGCGCTCGGGCAGACCGACTGGGCGAGGATTAAAGAAAGTTTCTGTAGTAAAAATAAAAAACTTTAAAATACAAAATATTATGTTATGCAAAAAATAAAATAAAATGTTTGTTTATAACAACACATAAAGTATTATATTTGGTGTGAATGATCAATAATTTGCTTTGATTTTTTTTATGATTGTCCTCGAGAAGTGATAACGTGTTTATCACATGATATGAGATGTAGGGCATTGTCGACATGCAACTGGGGTTAAGGTGGATTACCACTTGC